GGACCTGGACATCCAGGCCTCTGCGTGAAGGGCAGTGAGGCTTGGAGGGCAGCAGCAGTGCAGTGAGGAGGGAAGGAACTGCCAGGTGGATGGCAGCTGCATGTAACTGGCTGACAGGACAGACAAGCAGCAGGAAAATGAGGAGGGAGGAACACGCTTTGGATTTAGACCTGGCTTCTGAGCCTGCAGCAGGCAGTAATTCTCTGTGGGTCACAGGCAGGTCAGTTTCCATGAGTGGCAGTTTCATCTCTTGAGGAGGATACTGAAGCAGAAGTTCTCTAAGGTCCCTGCCAGTGCCAAGGTTTTAAAATTTTATGACTCAGTGACTTGAATGAGACCTTCAAGAAAGTTTAGAAATAAAAAGATGACCTAATAGAAGAGGGGTAAGACCTGCATAGCCCTTCACAAAAGAAGAACTCTAAATGGCCACTAATAAATGGCACTCAAGTAATCAAGGAAATGCCAGTCACACCCTAATGAAATACCATCACACATGTACTGGTCCAGATAAGTCTGACAATATCAAGTACAGCAGTAACTCTTACACTCCTGATGGGAGTATGAGTTAGTACAGGCACGTTAGAAAATATTTTGATCTATTTAGTAAGGCTGAAAATAAACCTGTGTCCCAGCAATTCCACTCCTACATACACGCCCACGCAGACGTGTGTATATGTGTGTGTATATATATGTATCTTAGAGAAATTCATGCACATACTCATGTCCCAGGATATATGTATGAGAATATCCAAGGTGGCACTGTTCGTAATAGACATACCCCCTCCCTCAAAACAAATGAAAACAACCCAAATGACATCAACAGGAAATGGATACATAACTGGTATATTCATGTAGCGAAATACCATACAGTAATGGAAACTAACCACAGCTCCACATAAAAATATGGACGAATGACATAAAAAGCCATGGTGAGATTGTACCCCAGTCCCGTGGCTATGAAATCCCATCACTGATGTCTCTTCTGCAAATTCCTGCATGGTCGTAGCTACCTCTGTGATCAGTCAGGCAATGCAGTGTTTCTTAAACACCTGGGGAGCAGCCCTGATGTAAATACCAGGCGTAGCCAGGAGGGGCCAGGGGCTGCCCGGCTGTTGGAGAGGAGGCCAGTGAGTTAAGAAAGCTTTACTGCCCAGGGGGAGCCCGACTTGATGTGAAAGGGCCTAAGGAGCTGGGGTGAGCTCTGGGGCTGGGGTGGCAGGAAGCAACACCGTCTAGTCGGAGGGAATCAGGCCCCCTCCGGGAGGCCCTTTCAGTTGCACGCGCTCTGCCCGGCAGGCTGCCCCTGGTGCCTTCCAAGTACTCCATGACGGTGATGGTGTTCCTCATGATGCTGAGCTTCTACTACTTCTCCCGCCATGTGAGTGCCACCTGCACGATCCCCGCTCTGTGCCCACAACCCACAGGGCCTCCTGAGCAGCAGCCCTGGGACCTAAGAGCCCAAGCTCCTAAGGACTGCGGCTTCCCTTTACCCACCCCACACGTGAGCCTGGTCAGGCCACTGCCTTTTCTATATTCAGGCTCCTTCCTCAGTCACACAGGAAGACAGTGCCTCACCTCTTCCATCCGACCCCCTCCAGGATGGTGAAGGAAGCATGGGAGTGAGGGCGGGAGGGGACAGAGCGAAGGCACAAACATCTTGAATCAAATCTCTATCCCCTAGGCCAGGGGCTCATGGCCCCTGCACTCCCCCTGGCGCTGAGGGACATTAGCACAACTGACCACGGAGCCGGGAGAGAAAGGGAAGGGAGCTGATGGACTTTCTGTTGGGTTAAAAGGAAAAGAGAAGGCTGGGTGCAGTGGCTTATTTTGGGAGGCTGAGGTGGAGGATCAGTTGATTCCAGGAGTCTGAGACCAGCCTGGGCAACATGGTGAAACCCTGTCTCTACTAAAAAATACAAAAATTAGCCAGGCATGGTGGCCCGTGCCTGTAATCCCAGCTACTTGGGGGGTTGAGGCAGGAGGATTGCTTGAATCTGGGAGGTTGAGGCTGCAGTGAGCTGAGATCACACCACTGCACTCCAGCCTGGGTGACAAGTGACCGCCCCCCTCCACCAACCCCACAACAGAGGAAAAGGGAGGAAAGAGGGAGGAGAAAGAACCTCTGTACTTCCGGCTCAGTGTTAGCTCAAGTGCCCCCTAGTGACTTTCCAGGGAAGTACAGCCTTCCCAAGCCACTTCTCATCCAAATAGCACCTGCTTAGAAAGGGGACTCCCCCCTGAGCTGGGAGATCCCCACTGCTGCCACCTCCACGAGACAGACCTGCAGCTGAAATTAGGTCCCAGAAGGCCTCCTGGATATCTGCTGTAACTATGGGGGCTGGAAACTGCACCGCACTATTGGGTGGCCTTTTGATGAGGGGGAATCCTTGCAGGGTCTTACTTCCCTTGCCATTTAGCCATCTTCCCTCCAGCCTTTCCAAGGGGAGCTCCTCTATTCATGTTCCTGTTTTTCTTCTTTTTTTGAGACTGAGTCTCACTCTGTCACCCAGGCTGGAGTCTAATGGTGCAATCTTGGCTCACTGCAACCTCTGCCTCCTGGGTTCAAGTGATTCTTCTGCCTCAGCCTCCCGAGTAGCTGGGATTACAGGTTGCCCGCCACCATGCCTGGTGAATTTTTGTATTTTTAGTAGGGACAGGGTTTCACCATATTGACCAGGCTGGTCTTGAACTCCTGACCTCAGGTGATCCGCCTGCCTCGGCCTCCCAAAGTGCTGGGATTACAGGCTGTTCAACCTCCCAGATTCAAGCAATGCCTGGCTGTTCCCGTTTTTCATCCTTCTATCCAGTGGCCAGCTCAGAGCACATGCCTCGCCTTGTCTGTGTCTGTAGGTAGAAAAACTGGCACGGACACTTTTCTTGTGGAAGATTGAGGTCCACGACCAGAAGGAACGTGTCTACGAGATGCGACGCTGGAACGAGGCCTTGGTCACCAACATGTTGCCTGAGCACGTGGCACGCCATTTCCTGGGGTCCAAGAAGAGAGATGAGGTGAGGGGTGTGGCCTCAGCCCGGAACCATGAGGCCATGCATCTCCATCTGTTCTTTGTTTCAGGGAACCCCCCTGGGCCCAGGCCTTCTCAGGGACTGGGGACTGGGGCCAGGTAGGGCTGAACCTAAACAGCAAACACAATATAAGCAAAAGAGGAGTTTCTCCGGCCTCTTGTAAAGGGTACTGCTGTAGGCATGGTGACGTGGGCCATACAGCTCTGAGGCCATGTGTCAGAAGACAAGACTTATTGCTAGAGCCCACCTTTCTGTTGCCTGTGAACTTCGCCAAAGTGGTTCCCAGCTCCACAGTACCCTCTTCCTCACAGCTGGGGCTATTAGAGGAACTAGAGAAGCTGTTTTAAAATTTATTCAAAGTAGTGGCCAGGCACAGTGGCTCACGCCTGTAATCCCAGCACTCTGGGAGGCCGAGGTGGGTGGATCACCTGAGGTCAGGAGTTTGAGACCAGCCTGGGCAACATATAGTGAAACCCCTGTCTCTACTAAAAATACAAAAATTACCTGGATGTGGTGGTGCATACCTGTCGTCCCAGCTACTTGGGAAACTGAGACAGGAGAATCACTTGAACCTGGAAGTGGAGGTTGCAGTGAATCGAGATTGTGCCACTCTACTCCAGCCTGGGCGACAGAACAAGACTCTGTCTCTCAAGAAAAAAAAAAAAAAGTAGCAATGAGCTATTTTTAAATTATTCAGAGTTGGGATAATCTACAGCCGGGCATGGTGGCATGTGCCTGTGGTCCCAGATACCTGGTGTTTGAGGCCGCAGTGCGTTTCAATTGTACCTAATCGTGCTTGTTTATTGCCACTGCACTCCAGGCTGGGAAACATAGCAAGACCCAGACTCTTTAAAAAAAAAAAAAAAAAAAAAAAAAGAGGCTGGGATAATCTGACTGATGTGTGAATACAAAAAGCTGAGTACACATGTCGTGTGTGGAAAACAGATGCATTTCTCCAGCACATCATCCAGTCAGACATGCTTTGAGCACTTTGGCCCTGCCTCTTTTTAGGAGCTGTACAGCCAGACGTATGATGAGATTGGAGTCATGTTTGCCTCCCTGCCCAACTTTGCTGACTTCTACACAGAGGAGAGCATCAACAATGGCGGTATCGAGTGTCTGCGTTTCCTCAATGAAATCATCTCGGATTTTGACTCTGTGAGTCCCCACCCCGCACTCTGGCGATGAAGCCGGCCCACTCCACATCACATCCTAGGATAGGCTGCAGAGGCCAGAGAAACTGGCTCCACCATCCCAGATAAGCCCCTTCTGCAATACACAGACTTCTGCAGCCACCTGGAACTACTGGGCTGGGGAAGGGGAGGGGAGGTGGGAGCCCAGGAACTCACCCACAGGGTCACAGGGTAAGGACTGGCCAAGCAACAGCTGGAGACCTCTCTGTCCTGGGACCCTCTCCTCAAATTCAGAGCTAGTCAGCATTGATTGGGTAACCTGTATACCAGGGAGAATGCTTTTCCACACGCGCGCAGCCCGCCTAGGAGACTGATTTTATGTCAGTGTTGAGGTTGTGGAAATTGAGGCCCAGAATGTCAGGGAGTTCTCCCAGGGTCACGTGGCAGATGAACGGTAGACTAAGTAACAACTTTGATAGGAAAGTGTCTCTTGGGTTTAGTGGGGTCCTTGTAAACAGGTACATCTGTCACTGGGTTGGGTCATTCATCTGCCTTGACTGCTGATAATTCTTTTCTGAATCCTGGCCCCAGCTCCTGGACAATCCCAAGTTCCGGGTGATCACCAAGATCAAAACCATTGGCAGCACGTACATGGCAGCTTCAGGAGTCACCCCTGACGTCAACACTAATGGCTTTGCCAGCTCCAACAAGGTAGCTAACCCCAATAGCCAGAGAGGAGACGAGGCTCTGCCCCCAGGCAAGAGATTGGCAGCCCAGACCTAGCATGTGGGAAACAAGAACTGCTGTGCAAAGGAGTCCCAGACACATACCACCAGCAGCATGTAAATATAAATAGTAGGGTTTATTAAGAAAGTCTGGCAAGCAGAGAAATAGCACACACACCACCCCCTGCTGTTCACAGCTCAGACCTAAGATGGTTGTGTTCTGTGGCCAGGCCCCCTAAGGCTCTGTGCTTTCATAGGAACTGGAGAGCAATTGTTAACAAGGGAAACTTAAAAAGTGTGGCCTTCAGAACTCTGGTCAATGGCAGCCTGTTCATTTGTTAAGCTAATTTAGACCTGTGTTCAGCTACCAGGAGAGAAAATGGGGTGTAGGAGCCCTGGTCCCAAGCTCTGGTCTTAAAACATCATCATCCTGCTTTACCTCTAAGACCATCCCATGGCCCTCTCTATCGTATGGATGAGGTTACAGAAACATGTCCAAGGCGGGTCACCCCCTCCAGTGCTTATCACCTAGTTGAGGGATCCAAACAAGGACAACTTGACAAAACCTAAGGACCAGGCCCAGCCAAGGTGAAGGAGCCCGCCTCGTGGTCAGACTCACGGATCCGTCTCCTCTACCCCCATTGCCCAGACTTTGCCTAGACCTGCTACGTGAACTCTGTCACAGTGGCAAGTCGGAGCTAGCGCGGCTGCCGACTCCTTTGTGGGAGGAAGGGAAGTCAGGCCTTGAACATCTAGCTGTGGGGAATCCACCCCCAGAACACTGCCAGGGAAGGCAGCAGAGCAGGCTGCTGCGGTGAGCGGCCCCTGACACTTTCTCCACGGTCCCCTGGCACAGGAGGACAAGTCTGAGAGAGAACGCTGGCAGCACCTGGCTGACCTGGCCGACTTTGCACTGGCCATGAAGGATACGCTCACCAACATCAACAATCAGTCCTTCAATAACTTCATGCTGCGCATAGGTGAGCGCCCCCAGCCGGCCTGCCCTGTGGCAGGGGCTCGGCCCACCAGGAGAGACAGGAGGCCTGAGGCATTCGGGTGGGGAGGTTCACGCACTCACAGGGTGAGGGGACCTGAAAGACCTTTAGTCCAGACTCTTCTAGATGACTAAACCAAAACCCAGCTGATGTGATGGTCAGGCTATACTGTGCGTACTGTTTACAACAGAAGCCTGGCCTGCCTGGCCGAGAAGTGAGTTTGTGATCCATTTCCAGAGGGGTTTCTGTGCCTGCTGAGGGCATGGCTTCCCAGACCAGCCTGCTCTTTGAAAGGAGTTCAGATCACCTGCTCTTCCACTGAGGGCGTCTCATTCCGGAGCGAGGTCACAGGAGACTTGAAATACCAGGTGTATTAGAACTGGTCACTACCATGCCGAGTAAATCTGCATATGGGGGGGTGGCAGCTGACACTGCCAAGCACACAGATAAACAGGAGACGTGACTGCCACCCTCCAGTAGCATACAGGCAAGTTGAACGAGGACAATGATGTGTTACATAATTAGGAGCTTTGTGGTACAGGTCTGGTGACAAATTCTATAAAAGAGGAGTTGGTTTCTGAGGCTCATGACAAGGTTTGGCCTGTGGCTGTGCTGAACTTTATGCTTCCACCCTAGGCATGAACAAAGGCGGGGTTCTGGCTGGGGTCATCGGAGCCCGGAAACCACACTACGACATCTGGGGCAATACGGTCAATGTAGCCAGCAGGATGGAGTCCACGGGGGTCATGGGCAACATCCAGGTACGTCCAGCAGCAGAGCCGGCGCGTGCTCAGACTCGGCACAGGAACAGAATCGGAACAGTGCTTTCCCATGTGCCCGCCTCCCACCCTGGCCCCGAACAGTTAAGTCCGCAGGCAGAGGCATGGGGTGAGTGGAAAGGAGTCTCTGCAATAGCTAGCCTCAGCGCAGGAGGAAATGCTCCCACCCATCCACAAAATCTGGGCTGAAGTTCTGGGTGCGTATGGCCTGCCTCTGGGTATGAACCTTCCGATACCTTGTGATCTGTCTCAGTGGGCTCTGGCAGAAGAGCTCCATGAAAGGGGCAAAGGGATACAAGAGCAGGCAGTGGCAGTTTCCAGGCAACAGTGCTGCCACCCGGGTGACCATGGCTGTCCTAGGAGAGAAGTCTCTGGGCGAGAGGAGGCCCCCAGCCAGTCACTCCAGGGCTCTCCTGCCCACCCGCTGCTCACCGGGGGTGGAAGGAAGGGCTTGGCCCTGGGAGGTTTGGGAAGGGTGCTGAGGGCCCTGTACTGCCTGGGACCCATGGATCAGTGCTCAGCTCCAACCACCCAAAGCCCCACCCGCCCTCAGTCTAGGCTCCCCCAGTAACACCACATTCTTGCTCCCCATCCCTCTACAGGTGGTAGAAGAAACCCAAGTCATCCTCCGAGAGTACGGCTTCCGCTTTGTGAGGCGAGGCCCCATCTTTGTGAAGGGAAAGGGGGAGTTGCTGACCTTCTTCTTGAAGGGGCGGGACAAGCCAGCCACCTTCCCCAACGGCCCCTCTGTCACACTGCCCCACCAGGTGGTAGACAACTCCTGAACAGCCTCGAGCCTGCAACAGTCCAAACCGGAAGGGAGAATTTATTTTTTGGAACTGAAGGAAGTCCTGGCCTTCCTGGATTGAAGTGCACACTCGCGGACTTTAGGTTTAGAATCTCCTCAGCCTTCGTTTGTTCATGGATGTGTAAACTCTGAGGGTGGCCCTGCTATTCCTCCATGTGCCTGTAGCGTCCCCAGCGTAGGGGTCTTAGGCGTAGGGCTGAACAGTCCTTCCAGAGCCCTCGTTCCAATCCCTGCCATTCTTGCCCCTGAGGGGCCCTGGCCACTGTGAGCAGAAGGGTGGCAGAGCTGGGACGAAGTGGCCTTTGCCAGTGGGCTGACTGGGACTGTGGAGGGAACACAGGCGGGGAAGCTCTGCTTCAGACGGGGCTTGGTGGGGCGGGACATGGCTGGCAAACGTTTTGCTCCCATTCTGAAGGGGAGGTCAAGCAGGATACCTGGTGGTCTCCATGTGGTCCAAGTGAGGTGAGATGGCCCTCGTCCTGGTGTTCCTCATCATCTTGAAAGGTTCTTCTGGAACCCCTGTCCCCTTAGCCATGAGAGCAGAAAGTACAATATTTCCTTTCACCTGGCAGGGGAGGGGGGGTTTATTTCTGAAAGAAAAATATATAAACAGATCTTCTACATTTATATTTTTAATCTTCTGTTAAATACACTCCGACATTGCCTTGCCTTTTGAGCTCTTGCTACAGTCGCCTTTGCTACTGCTTTAAGAGAATTTACAGGTATTGATAAAGAACAAGACTGTTTTATTAAAAGCTTTATTCAACTTGAAAGTGATGGTGGAAACTGTGGTAATATCACTTATCTGAGGAGTGCTGTACTTTGCTGACTCATGCCACTGGTCCCCACCATAGGCCTGGAAGGCAGGAGCTTGAAGGTCTCGTCATAGCTCACTGTACCCCGGAACTATTCTTCAACTGCTTTCTTCTAAAGCGTACTCCAAGCTGGCTTTAGTCCTCTGCACTGTTCCCGGAGCTCTCCCACATGGAGGTTACTTCATGACCGTGAAGTCTAGGAAGTGGCCATTGCAGCTTAAGTCTGAACGTGGCCTTGGGCCAGTCATGACTCCTGACTCCTATCTGTGCCTGGGCAAGGGAGAGCTAGGGATGAAAACGGGAGAACCTGGTCAGCCAGACACAGGTCTTCATATCTGACCCACACGCCAAGGAACCAGGGGTGCTAGCAAATCAGGACACTAACCTCAGAGCCTGCAGGAGAGGGAAGACCCAGGGGGCGCCTGAGTCCCCCTGAGTTTATGGGCAGATTTCTAACCGTGCTTTTTCAGCAGGGACTTCTTAGTACATTCAGAGCTCTACTAAACTGTTTTAGAAAACAAAATATGAGATAGATTGAACGCTGTTTATTTTATCCTACTGCTTTCTCACACCATGTTTATAAAGCAGTGGCCTAGAATACACTGCACCTAACCAAACACCGAAGAACTTCCTTTTCAAAAGTTTCAAACAGGAAAATGAGGAAAAATTACTTAAAGCTTCCATAAAAGCTAGAAATACTTTCCTTTAAAAAAAAAAAATGGGGTCGTCTTTATTATTTTCATTAGTGAATGTGGGTTGTTTTTCCATTATTTATATCAGTATTTCTCAACACAATCAAGCTACTGCAGTTTGAGTGGAGTGCTACATTTCTGTGAGAGCCCTCTGAAAATTTTAGGATTTTTGGCGTCTCTATTCCTTGCATTAAATTAGTAGCAGTTACTGTGACAATGCCCTCAATAATTTGATAGTTTTCCATATTTTTTTCATAAGTACTTCTTGAGTGATACACCTTTTTCAAAAAATGGCTTTTGGCCGGGCGTGGTGGCTCAAGCCTGTAATCCCAGCACTTTTGGAGGCTGAGACGGGCGGATCACGAGGTCAGGAGATCGAGACCATCCTGGCTAACACGGTGAAACCCCATCTCTACTAAAAAAATACAAAAAACTAGCCGGGTGTGGTGGCGGGCGCCTGTAGTCCCAGCTACTCGGGAGGCTGAGGCAGGAGAATGGCGTAAACCCGGGAGGTGGAGCTTGTAGTGAGTTGAGATCCGGCCACTGCACTCCAGCCTGGGTGACAGAGCAAGACTCCGTCTCAAAAAAAAAAAAAAAAGGCTTTTATTGCCCCACAAATGATTTTCAACTAAAATGTATGATCAATTAACACCTTTAAAAAACATGATCTTGAGCATTTTAAGAAGTGACCAGGAGATCATGGGAACTGTTCAAAAATGCCAGTGTCTATACTCAAACCTGCTCTTCTATCCAGATGAAAAGGTAGGTATCTCTTTTCATCAGAAGGGTGGGCCCCACCTGCCTGGTACTGTCTTCAGTACTGGTTACTTACCTCTGAGGTGTTCCCAGTGCAGTGAAAACAATCTATTAGGAGACCAGACTCATCTCCAACTTTTCTCTTCTTGCAAATGAGGCAAACACTTGATGCAGGGGCTTCGTATAGAACAGAGTTTCATGAGATGCTCGTTGCTCCTCCCATGAAGTGGATAATGCTTCCCCTCCTAAAAAGAAAGATTCCACCAATCTCATTCAGTGCAGCTGGGGGAATCGGAGCCTGGATCACTGATATTCTGGACCCACTGGACCCATACAGTTTTTTTTTGGGGGGGGGGTTCCGCACTGAGAGAGGCTGCCCCTTATTGGACCAATGCAATCTAGAGACTGGGGACTTGAATCAGACTGCCCAGAGAAATCAAAGACCAATGGTGTGAAATCTGGGGCAGCTTCAAAATTTCTGCCTCCTAAAAACATTGTACCCAATTTTTCATTATTGCCCATGTCACATTTAACTGAAACAGGTTCACCAAAAAGTCTCTTAGCCAGTCTGGAAGAATTTCCATTTAAGAGACTGCTCCATAGGGAGGAGTAAGTGTGTGCTGACACGTCACGTCCATTTGTCTTCGTAGTGAAATGAGTGTTCTGGCTCCATTCACCATAACTGACCCATGACTCAGCCTTATCATTAGGTGTCTTTCCTGAAGCAGGGCCTCCAATGAAAACAATCATAGGCTGCAAGAACACTGGCAGAGGTGGGTGGGCAAAGGAGGAGGGAAAATGGGGACAATCATGTTTACTATTTACAAAGAGGAAGGAAAAGATTGGTAGAAACAAGAATGTTCTGGCCGGGTGCGGTGGCTCACGCCTGTAATCCCAGTACCCTGGGAGGCCAAGGCAGGCAGATCACGAGGTCAGAATATCAAGACCATCCTGGTTAACACGGTGAAAACCCGTCTCTACTAAAAAATACAAAAAAATTAGCCGGGCGTGGTGGTGGGCGCCTGTAGTCCCAGCTACTCAGGAGGCTGAGGCAGGAGAATGGCGTCAACCCAGGAGGCGGAGCTTGCAGTAAGCCAAGACTGCGCCACTGCACTCTAGCCTGGGCAACAGAGCCAGACTCTGTCTCAAAAAAAAAAAAAAAAAGAATGTTCTGTCTTAGCAGTCTGAATAACACATAGCTTATATATAAAAAGAGAAAGTGTCTCAAGAGGCCTACTTCATGGATTCTACCTGTTTTCCCTGCTTCACTAGAATAAACTGGGATATGAGAATTGCTGCACCAAGGCACCCTTCTTACCTTGACATGTCACGGTGACGTCAGTGGGAAGAGTTGCTGTGAGATCCTTATACAGCAATCTAGCACAGAACAGGAAGGACTGACCGCCTGGGTCCAGTTTGTAAGTAAATGACAGCAAGTTACACAGTGGGTTTCTCTGCAAGGGCCCAGTCAGGAGGGCTGCAAAGTCACTCTAAGAGGGGTGAGGAACAAAACGAAGTACAGGATGACTACAGTTCCAAAGGTGGTGTTTACTGACACTTCAATTATGTCAACCAAAAAGAGGCCCATCAATTACATTTCAGAGAAATAAATGAGGGACAGAAAAAGTTCTGAAAAAAGGACTAATGAAAAAGATGTGTAAGATAACTAAGAGTCAGTGGCAGCCCGCAAAGCCCTACAGGCCTAAATGGCCAGGGGTACAGCTCCACAAGAGACTGTTGCTGCAAAAACTTCACTGACGTTACATGGCTAAGATGCTTCATGACTGCATCCACATTTCAATTTAAGTTAAACCTGCAACTGAGAGCTGCAGGGTGATTCCAAATACATAGAGGGGGAAATGCTAAGCTCGTAGGAGTCACTTACAGCCATCTGCATTCATTTCCCAACTACTTTTTTCACCCAAACTTAGCTCCACTGCAACCCAAAAAGGTAGGCTAGAGTTTAGGGGAAGTTGGACAGCATTCTTCCATGGCACTGCAGAAATCCTTCTCTTTCTAATGAGATCTATACCCAAGGTTCAGCAAGGCACTTGGTACGGTACGTAGCAGGCACTCTATAAATCCTTGTTGAATCAAAAGTATAGCAACTGCACTCTGTACAATCTTATGATAAAAGCTTGAAGACCACCATTCAGGGGTGCATAATCCTTTAACCAGTACCCAAGCTTCAAAGCCATCCAGAGTTTCAAAAGAAAAGAGGGTGGGATAGTGCTTTTATATAAAGCAGCAGCATCGGAAAGGTAATGGTCAAACTGCTAATGCAGAGTTAGGACACACTGAAAATACAAAAAACATCCCCCCTTTCCCCTTTTATCTTGGGCCCACAAATGAGGCATATAACATCCCAGAGAGATACCTGAAGCCGGTCTGCCTGGTACTTCCTCCCAGAGTAAGCATTCAGGTACTCGCAGAGACTGAACAGGAAGTGCTGGATGTTGGTCTGTAAGTATTTTGCAGCTATTTCTTCCAGAGGAATGAAGACTGGAACTGAATGGTGATGTATCCGGAGTGGTTTCTGTATGACAAGGTCCACAAAATAGGAATCCAATAGGTTCCCCTCAAAAGCAGTATTGATGCAGACACAAACTCCTCGGCTGGTCAGCTTACCACTGAGGCCTGAAGCAAACGAGAAGACACCTCAACAGACAGCAGGCCAAGGTGACATCTTACTCATCTGTGCCTCCAGTAGCTTCCACAGTGCCCAGAATATGTATACTTTGTAAACAAATGTTTGCTGAATGAGTATCATAGGCTCATTCTTCCCCTTGACTCCGGCTCACTTTGAGACTGAGTTGTTCAAACCATGGAAGAATGGTAAAAATGAAAAAACATCCTAAATGTCAAATTATTGAGAAATTTTTCTGGATTTTTTTTTTTTAGGCCGGAGAGCAGTGGCACGATCTCAGCTCACTGCAATCTCAACTTCCTGGGCTTAAGCAATCCTCCCATCTCGGCCTCCCGAATAGCTGGGACCACAAGTGCGTGCTACCTCACCTGGCTCATTTTTTAATTTTTAGTAGAAATGAGATCTTGCTATGTTGCCCAGGCTGGTCTCGAACTCCTGGACTTAAGTAATCCTGCCTCAGCCTCCCAAAGTGATGGGATTACAGGCATGAGCCACTGTGCAAGGCCAAAAATTTAATTTATAGCTATTCTTTTTTTCTGAGTGTGAAATAATTTGTCATAGTCCCCAGTTCTTCCCACAATTATCTTGTGGCATAGACGGGAGAATAAATCCCTACTTATGGTGAAACAGAGACTTGAGAAGTTCAAACTATTTCACTAGCAGCATAAAACAAGCCAGCAGTAAAGGCAGTTATAGTACAGGGTCTGGCACATGACAAACTGTTAAAATGAATGGAATAAGCCAGCCACCAACTCAGCTGCTGTACAAAGAAGCCAATCTTGTAGGTGAAGATAGGCCTACAAATAGCATGTCAGCTGTGTCTGTGTGTGTGTGTGTGTGTGTGTGTGTGTGAGACAGAGAGAGAGAGATGAGGGCAGAGGGTGTAAAATACTATAAATTATGAAATAAGTCCAGGACTGATAACACATCAGCAAACTCACTAGAGACAGACCCAGACTAAATTAGGTTAAAAAAACAAACAAAACCTGTAAAATGATACGCCTGCAGAATGGCTTTCACGTTTTCCAGTTTCTCTTCCAATGCTTCTTGCTCATTGACCTCCACTGTTCGGTTGGGTTCTACATTGGCAATACATGCTTTCACCTGCAAGATATGCAGCAAATCAATCTAGGTACAAAGGTGTGCACCACAACGTCCCCACCCTCACCCAACTGGATAAAAGCTAAATGCAGGGCACATGATATGATACATCAATGCTACAGTGGCCGGCCAGTTATTGCTATGAGTTTACAGCAGAGGAAAAATCTCATGGGTCACAATGCCAGGAATCAGAGGTGGAGATTGTATGGGTCTGAAGAACAATTCAGATTTGATGGGTGGAGAGAACTGAGAGAGTAACAAGAAAAGGTTGTGTGGAAAGTCTAGGCTAAGCACAGGGTGGACAAAACAGGTGGCTGTGAAGAGGCAAGGCTGGGTAAGTTGGGCTTGGACAGTGTGGGGTTTCAAATGCCAGGGCTCCAAGGCTTACACTGCTAGTTATAGCCCAGCAGAAGGTACCAGGCCAACCCGCCCTCTGAGAACAACTACGCAAGGTGGATAAAATACCAAAAAGAAATAGGCAAGCAAAGAGAGCAAATGGTTTGAAGGCATTCCACAAGGATCCAAATAGCCAGGATTGGAGAAGAGTGACAAATGCTCTGAAGTCAGCTGGCTTCCCTGCAGCCTCTGGCCTCAGAGCATTTCCTTATTCACAGGCAAGGCACACTGGGCCACATAGAAAGGCGTAAGCTAGACTCCACAGCAGTCCCATACGGAATAAACCCCGGACATTAATGGCATCAAAGCAGACTTTCTATGGGCCAAGATCCCATAGAAAAGGGAACTCAACGTTTTGCTTGCAATCTGCCCTCCCGGCATTTGCTAATTCCTAAACTGCACAGGTGTGACTGGGGACTGAGAAACCACATGGAAAGAAGCTGCTCAGCCCGGCACAGTGGCTCCCGCCTGTAATCCCAGCACTTTGGGAGGCTGAGGTGGGTGGATCACGAGGTTAGGAGTTTGAGACCAGCCTGACCAACATGGTGAAACCCTGTTTCTGCTAAAAATACAAAAATTAGCCGGGTGTGGTGGCGTGCACCTGTGACCCCAGCTACTCAGGAGGCTGAGGCAGGAAGGAGAATTGCTTGAATCCGGGAGGTGGAGGTTTCAGTGAGCCGAGATCGTGCCACTGCACTCTAGCCTGGGCGACAGAGCGAGACTCTGTCTCAAAAAAAAATAAGCTGCTAAAGGGGAAAAAAGCCAAGCAGAGATTTTGCTAGAACAAAATGTGGATTTCAGGGCCTGCCAGGGAAGAGGAGCCTTAATAGACCCGTCTCCAACACACTCCCAAACCTTCAGTTGAAGGTCCTAAAAAAAGCTATGCCCTAGGAGCAATGGAAACCGGAAACAGACCACTTCAACTGAATAAAGGTGATGTGCCCATATGCTATCTACTTGCCAGAAAAACTAAAATTTCCTCTGGAGGAAGATAACATACTCAGAACCCATATTGCCTCCCCTCACCTCCCGTTCCCGTCCTTTATTTTTTCCAGACCGAGTTTTGCTCTTGTTACCCAGGCTGGAGTGCAATGGCTCGATCTTGGCTCACTGCAACTTCTGCCTCCCGGGTTCAAGTGATTCTCCTGCCTCAGCCTCTGGAGTAGCTGGGATTACGGACACCCACCACCACACCTGGCTAATTTTTGTATTTTTAGTAGAGATGGGGTTTCACCATGTTGGCCAGGCTGGTCTCGAACTCCTGACCTCAGGTGGTCCACCCACCTTGGCCTCCCAAAGTGCTGGGATTACAGGTGTGAGCCACTGCACCTGGCCTCCATATATTTTTTCATACACAATACTCATCATTGAATTTAAAAAAAACAACAACAAACAAACGAACAAAAAAACCCCACTGCACTCCAGCCTGGGCGACATAGCGAGACTCCGTCTCAAAAAAAAAAAAAAAAAAAAAAAATTTCAAACTTTAAATGCGAGTTTACATAAAATGAACAAACTGCAAAATGCAACATACCAAAAGTGACCCAAGAAGAAACAGGAAATCTGAACAGCTTATGCTGATCAAAGAAATCGGATCAGAAATTAAAACCTTCCCACAGAGAAGGCCCAAAGAGCTTCACCGGGGAATTCCTTAACAAAATGTAAGAAAAAATAACACCAATAGAATATAAAGTCTTTCAAAGAATAGAAAAAAAAAAAGGAAAATGTCTCTAAGAGCAACATAAAACTTGATGCCAAAACCTGACAAAGTTATTACAAAAAAATCATAGGGCAATCTCTCTCATGAATTTAGATGCAAAAGTTCTAATAACTAATATCAGCAAGTCAGATTTAGAATTATATTAAAAAGATAATACATCAAACCAAATTAGGTTTACTATGAGAATGTGAGGGCAATTTATCATTTAAACAGCAATCAATATATAACAAATTAATAAGGGAGAAAACATGATTCCCTTAATATATGCAGTAAAAATATCTGATAAAATTTAATAGCATAATATCATGATTAAAACTCTTAGCAAACTAGAAATAAAAAAGCCGGGTGCGGTGGCTCACGCCTGTAATCCCAGCACTTTGGGAGGCTGAGGTGGGTGGATCACCTGAGGTCAGGAGTTCGAGATCAGCCTGGCCAACATGGTGAAACCCCATCTCTACTAAAAATACAAAAATTAACCAGGCACATGCCCATAATCCCACCTACTCGGGAGGCTGGGGCAGAAGAATCGTCTGAACCCAGGAGGCGGAGGGTGCCGGATCGTGCCACTACACTCCAGCCTGGGCAACAAAGTGAGACTCTGTCTTAAAAACAAAAAAAAAAATAAAATAGGAAATACCAGGAAAAGATCAGCATGATCTTAAGTTAGACAAAGATTTATTGAACAAGAAACAAGGGCACTAAGAATAAAGTTTAATTCCTAAATCAAACTTCATTAAAACAAAGATTTTCATCGCAAGACACCATTAGAGAATGAAAAGACAAGCCACAGTCTAAGGAAGACTCTAATACAGATACCCAACAAAGAACTCATTCAAAATATGTAAAGATTTCTACAATTTAATAGATGGACAACCTAATAAAAAGTTCACAAAAGCCTTGAAAAAAGCACACTTCGCAACAGAAGATTTTCAAATGTTCAATACAGGGATTCCCCAACACTGGTTATGAAGCAAATGCAAATTCAATCCAAAACGAGATATTATTACACTCCCACCAGAATGGCAAATTTTAAAAACTGACAATAGCAAGTATTGGTAAAAATGCAAAACAATGGAAATCTTGAACACTATTGCTGGGAATGTAAAAGTGATACAATCACTTTCAAAAACTGCCAGAATTTTCTAAACCTAATATGCATATCCTACTAACCAACAATTCTACTAGGCATACACCCAATATATAAGTGTATATTTTTATACCAAAGGACAGAAACACACAAAATGTTAATAGTGACAACATTCATAATAATCCCAAAGTGAAATAACCCCAATAACCCAAATGTCATCACAGTAGAATGGGTAAACAAGTTGTAGTATACTCATAAAATAGAATTGCTATATAGCAATAAAAAAAATGACTACTATAAGCAAAGTGTAGGTGAATCTCAGTCATAACATTCAGCAAAAGAAGCCAGACGTAAGAGTTAGTGCTTTTTAACATTTATATAAAGTTCAAAATCAGGTAAAACCTATGTATGGTGACAGAAATCAGAATAGTGGGTACCTTAAGATATATGACTAGAAGAGGCAAACTGGAGGCTTCTGGGGTACTGGTAATGCTCTATACTTGAATCACTGTTGTAGTTACCTGGTTGTGCTAACTTTGTAACAAAGTCCATCAGATTTGTGCACTTTATATATATTACAATTTAAAAAAAAAAAAGGAAGAAGGGAGGAAGGAAGAGAGATATAGGTGGAAAAGGAAGATGGGGAGGAAGGCTGATATCCCATGGGCAATTAAGGGTTGTTGATGGCTTTTGAGCAGAACAATGGTGCGGTGTTTCATGAAGCATTTTCTTGGCTGTGCTGGATTTATTGGAAAAGCAGAAATACGAGAAGATGCACCAACTGGCAGACTACTGTCATAATCCTGGTATCCAAATCACCTGATATTTACTCCATATATGGCTAATATTTGAGCTGTGGCAATGGAGGAAGGACAAAGACTATATAAAAGAAAAATCTGATAGGTCTTGCTGACTGAACCTAGGCTAGAGAGATAACTGAAAAAAGGGAAGGGTCAAGCTCTCTAGGAGGTTGAGTCTGGGTGACAGATGTCACTAATGACTAAAGTATCAACAACTCAAGGCAAGCCACTACAAGTACTGGTAAAAATGCAAAACAATGGAAAACTTATACAACTATTGCTGGGAATGTAAAACTAGTACAATCACTTTCAAAAACTGGCAGTATTTACTAAACCTAATATGCATATCGTATGACCCAGTAATTCTACTAGGTATATACCTAATATGTTTATGATTGAGGTAACAAACTTAGGTGTTTATTAGGGCAGGTTAAGAACCTGGCAGGAAGAACTTGCCTGGCTTACCAGTAGTGCCTGACCAATGTTAGGTGATATTCACTGTAACTCTACAGGATTTTTTTTTTTTTTTTTGAGACGGAGTCTCGCTCTGTTTCCCAGGCTGGAGTGCAGTGGCTCGATCTCAGCTCACTGGAACCTCCGCCTCCCAGGTGCAATGCTCGTGCCTCAGTCTCCTGAGTAGCTGGGATTACGGGCACGTGCCACCACGCCCGGCTAATTTTTGTATTTCTAGTAGAGACAGGTTTTCGCCATGTTGGCCAGGCTGGTCTCAAAACGCCTGACCACAGGTGATAGGCCTGCCTCAGCCTTTCAAAGTGTGGGATTACAGGCATGAGCCACCGCACCTGGCCAAACTCCACAAGTTTGATCATTTGAGGGATCAAGGACTACAATCAATCCAGTAAGATCACAAGTAAAACACATTATTAAAAATTGCCAATTCACCAATTCCCAAATCACATTTGTTCATTATACTCTAAAGGAACTGCTGACACCACCCTTCTACTCACGCCGCCTCGCCGGTGCCGCCGCGCAGCCCTCGGATCATCTCGCAGGTGCCTTAGTTTCTGAATCTTGGTTCCAAGAACACGCTCCTGGGCCTGCGCGCTCTGCGGCTCTTCAGGCCGTTTACGGGATCTGCTCGTTTGGTTCTCTAGCCTTTCCAAGTGAGCTAAAACACCTAAGGAGAGTAAAAGGAGAATTTTACAAGCCGAGGATTTCTCACTGTGGCAACAGGAAGTATCTCAGGGAAGAACAGGTGACTCTTTTTCACCAGAACTTTATGGCCAGCTGAATTGTTAGATATCTGTCAATTTATAAAAGCAGGGGAGCTAACAATTGAAATCAAAGGTCTTCAACCTCCTAGGTTGAAGAGTGATGTAAAACAGGATCCTCTTCAAAGAGAGCCCGAGAAAGGATATGAACCATCACACGCTGATTAGGCAGCAGTGTCTTATCTAGGTCTGCAGTTTACCACAAATCCACATCTCTAGTGTGTAAAGGATGATTCTCTAGCTTTACCACCGGCTGGAGAGAAGCCCTCTCACAGTTGAGGGCGGTGGCTCACACTTGTAATCTCAGCACTCTTGGGGGCCGAGGCAGTTGGATCACCTGAGGTCAGGAGTTCAAGACCAGCCTGGCCAACATGGCGAAACCCTATCTCTATTAAAATTACAAAAAATTAGTTGGGTGTGGTGGCGCATGCCTGTAATCCCAGCTACTAGGGAGGCTAAGGCAGGAGAATTGTTTGAATCTGGGAGGCAGAGGTTGCAGTGAGCTGAGATCGCGCCATTGCACTCCAGCCTGGGGGACAGAGATAGACTCTGTCTCAAAAAAACAAACAAAAAAGAAAGTCCCAGACTTTATTTAATCGAGCTTCTTAAGTACATCCAGCATCTGTTTTGTAGGGTTCATATGCATAAACATATATGAAAATCTTAATCTTCTTTCCTTGCCTTGGAATGGAATCCAAAAACTTATTCACCTATCGAATTAAGACTAGGAACCTCTTAGAGTGTTTACCGCTAATAAAAACATTTAAAAAATTATGTGAGATCGGGCCGGGTGTAGTGGCTCACGCCTGTAATCCCAGCACTTTGGGAGGCCGAGGCTGGTGAATCACGAGGTCAGGACATCAAGACCACCCTGGCTAACATGGTGAAACCCTGTCTCTACTAAAAACACAAAAAATTAGCTGGGCATGGTGGCGGGCACCTGTAGTCCCGGCTACTCGGGAGGCTGAGGCAGGAGAATGGCATGAACCCAGGAGGCGGAGCTTGCAGTGAGCCGAGATCCAGCCACTGCACTCCAGCCTGGGTGACAGACTCCATCTCAAAAAAAAAAAAAAAAAAAAAAAAAAATTGGGTGAGATCAAATAGAAACAGACACACACTATATGCAAAATTATCCTATTTTACTCATTGAGGCCTATCCCCTCTTGCTTTCTCAGAAACTCTAGATGATCCGTTACCCTTTTCTCTGCTGTGTTCATTTCCCTTCCACACACGCTCAAGTCTCAACTGTCTTCAAACATACACACACTCACACACACACATTTCATATACTCATACACACTCATACACACTCACACACACTCATACACACACATTTCATATACTCATACACACTCATACACACTCACACACACTCATACACACACACATTTCATATACACACTCATACACTCACACACTCATACACACACATTTCATATACTCATACACACTCATACACTCACACACACACTCATACACATTTCATATACTCATACACACACATTTCATATACTCATACACACTCACACACACTCATACACATTTCATATACTCATACACACTCATACACACTCACACACACTCATACACACACATTTCATATACTCATACACACTCATACACTCACACACACTCATACACACACACATTTCATATACTCATACACACTCATACACTCACACACTCATACACACACATTTCATATACTCATACACACTCATACACACTCATACACACACATTTCATATACTCATACACACTCATACACACTCATACACACACATTTCATATACTCATACACACTCATACACACTCATACACACACATTTCATATACTCATACACACTCATACACACTCATACACACACATTTCATATACTCATACACACTCATACACACTCATACACACACATTTCATATACTCATACACACTCATACACACACATTTCATATACTCATACACACTCATACACACTCATACACACACATTTCATATACTCATACACACTCATACACACTCATACACACACATTTCATATACTCATACACACTCATACACACTCATACACACACATTTCATATACTCATACACACTCATACACTCACACACACTCATACACACTCATACACTCATACACACACATTTCATATACTCACACACACTCATACACTCACACACACTCATACACACTCATACACTCATACACACACATTTCATACACTCATACACACTCATACACTCACACACACTCACACACACTCATACACTCACACACACTCACACACACTCATACACTCACACACACTCATACACACTCATACACTCATACACACACATTTCATACACTCATACACACTCATACACTCACACACACTCATACACACACATTTCATACACTCATACACACTCATACACTCACACACACTCATACACACACATTTCATATACTCACACACACTCATACACACACATTTCATATACTCATACACACTCATACACACTCACACACAATTTCATACACTCACACACACTCATACACTCACACACACTCATACACACACATTTCATACACTCACACACTCATACACTCACACACAATTTCATACACTCACACACACTCATACACTCACACACACTCATACACACACATTTCATATACTCATACACACTCATACACACTCACACACAATTTCATACACTCACACACACTCATACACTCACACACACTCATACACACACATTTCATATACTCATACACACTCATACACTCACACACACTCATACACACACATTTCATATACTCATACACACTCATACACTCACACACTCATACACACACATTTCATATACTCATACACACTCATACACTCACACACTCATACACACACATTTCATATACTCATACACACTCATACACTCACACACACTCATACACACACATTTCATATACTCATACACACTCATACACTCACACACACTCATACACACACATTTCATATACTCATACACACTCATACACTCACACACTCATACACACACATTTCATATACTCACACACATTTCATACACTCACACACACTCATACACACACATTTCATATACTCATACACACTCATACACTCACACACACTCATACACACACATTTCATATACTCATACACACTCATACACTCACACACACTCATACACACACATTTCATATACTCATACACACTCATACACTCACACACACTCATACACACACATTTCATATACTCATACACACTCATACACTCACACACTCATACACACACATTTCATATACTCACACACACTCATACACTCACACACACTCATACACACACATTTCATATACTCATACACACTCATACACTCACACACACTCATACACACACATTTCATATACTCATACACACTCATACACTCACACACTCATACACACACATTTCATATACTCATACACACTCATACACTCACACACACACTCACACACATTTCATATACTCATACACTCATACACTCACACACACTCATACACACACATTTCATACACTCATACACACTCACTCACACACACTCATACACACACATTTCATACACTCATACACACTCATACACTCACACACACTCATACACACACATTTCATACACTCATACACACTCATACACTCACACACACTCATACACACACATTTCATACACTCACACACACTCATACACTCACACACACTCATACACACACATTTCATACACTCACACACACTCATACACTCACACACACTCATACACACACATTTCATACACTCACACTCATACACTCACACACACTCATACACACACATTTCATACACTCATACACACTCATACACTCACACACACTCATACACACACATTTCATACACTCACACACACTCATACACTCATACACACATTTCATACACTCACACACACTCATACACACACATTTCATACACTCATACACACTCATACACTCACACACACTCATACACACACATTTCATATACTCATACACACTCATACACTCACACACACTCATACACACACATTTCATACACTCATACACACTCACTCACACACACTCATACACACACATTTCATATACTCATACACACTCATCCACTCACACACACTCATACACACACATTTCATACACTCATACACACTCATACACTCACACACACTCATACACACACATTTCATACACTCACACACACTCATACACTCATACACACATTTCATACACTCACACACATACACACACATTTCATATACTCATACACACTCATACACTCACACACACTCATACACATTTCATATACTCATACACACTCATACACTCACACACACTCATACACACACATTTCATACACTCACACACACTCATACACTCATACACACATTTCATACACTCACACACACTCATACACACACATTTCATATACTCATACACACTCATACACTCACACACACTCATACACACACATTTCATATACTCATACACACTCATACACTCACACACACTCACACACACACATTTCATACACTCATACACACTCATACACTCACACACACTCACACACAATTTCATACACTCATACACACTCATACACTCACACACACTCATACACACACATTTCATATACTCATACACACTCATACACTCACACACACTCATACACACACATTTCATACACTCATACACACTCATACACTCACACACTCATACACACACATTTCATACACTCATACACACTCATACACTCACACACACTCATACACACACATTTCATATACTCATACACACTCATACACTCTCACACACACTCACACACACACATTTCATATACTCATACACACTCATACACTCACACACACTCATACACACACATTTCATACACTCACACACACTCATACACACTCACACACAATTTCATACACTCACACACACTCATACACACACATTTCATATACTCATACACACTCATACACTCACACACACTCATACACACACATTTCATATACTCATACACACTCATACACACTCACACACAATTTCATACACTCACACACACTCATACACTCACACACACTCATACACACATTTCATACACACACACACACTCATACACTCACACACTCATACACACATTTCATACACTCACACACACTCATACACTCACACACACTCACACACACATTTCATACACTCACACACACTCATACACTCACACACACACTCATACACACACATTTCATACACTCACACACACTCATACACTCACACACACACTCATACACACATTTCATACACTCACACTCATACACTCACACACTCATACACACATTTCATACACTCACAGGCCTGTTTTTGCCCACAAATCCCCTTCAGCTACCATCTCCCTTTTCTCCCCTTTCCTTGCCAGGAAAACTACTTAAAAGAGTTGTCCATGCAAGTTGAGTATCATTTATCCAAAAGTTTTGGGACTAGAGGTGTTTCAGATTTTGGAATTGGGAATATTTGCATTATACTTACTGGCTGAACATCCCATATCTGAAAATCCAAAACTGGAAATAAGCATTTCCTTTGAGCATCATGTCAGTACTCAAAAAGCTTCAGATTTTGGAGTATTTCAGATTTTGGATTTTCAGTGCTCAACCTGTACTCACTTTCTCCATTTCCTTGCCTGTGACTCATATCTCAATCCACTTGAAACTCACTTCTGTTCCCATTATTTTACAAAACTACTCCAGGATCAACAGTGATGTCAATGTTGCTGAACCCAAAGCACATTTTTCAAGCTCCCTTATCTCACCTCCCAGCACTATATGCTTCTGCTGATCACCACCTTCATGAAACCCTCTTTTCCTTTGAATCTTAGCATACCAGCCTCTTGGTTTGCCTTGTTCAACAGATGTTTATTAAGCATCTATTTTGTGCCGAGCACTATTTCAGGCACTGAATGTAGTGATGAACAAGAGACAAACTACTTGTTTTTGTGACACTTATATTTTACCTGTCTGACCCCTCTTTCTGCTTTGCAGGCTCCTACTCTCCTCCTTGATCATTAAATGCTGACATTTTCTGGAGCTCAGTCCTAAGACCTCTTCTCTCCAGAAGAAATCTCATCACTACCCACAGCCTTAATGGCCATACATGTCGATGCCTCGCAAATATGTATCTCTAGCTTATACCTCTCTCCTGCTTCTTGAGAAAGCAGAATACCCACCTGCCTTCTCAGTGTATCTACTTGGAAGACTCACAGGAACCTGACAATCAACATGTCCAAGACTGAATTCACCATCTCCCCTTCCAAACCCCTCAGTGACTAGAACCATTTACAGCTGTGTAAACCAGGTACTTGCTTCCTTACACCTTCTTCCTGCCCCAGTCCCAATCCATTACCAAATCCTATTGAATATACATTCCTAGTATCTCTAAAATATTTCCATTTTCCCCATCTGCAATGCCACCATTGTAGTTCAAGCTACCACCATTTCTGGACTATTACAAGTTTCCTAGGTGGCCCATACACTGAAAGCATATTTCAAAATCTAAACTGGATCGCGTCATCCAGCTGGCTAAAGCCTTTCAATGACTTCACACTGCCTACAAGGCCTACTGGCCTCTGGATCTTTCCTACCCTCATCAGTATCATGCTGCTCCTTCTCTAGGCACTTCCACACAGGCCTTCTCTCAGGCTCTCAAACCTGCCCAGCTTCTTTACTGACCTGATCCCCACCCCGCAACAGGCACACCAAAGGCTCTTCCACAGCTGCCCCTTACCCACCTTCACCTGTACTACTGTAGCTTGTTAGCACTCAGTGCAAACAGCATTTCCTCAGGGAAACCTTTGCAGCACCTTCAGAACAAGGCCAGGTGCCAGCTCATAAGCTCTCAAAGATCCTTCTGAGACAATACTATAGTTTTTTTGTTTTTGTTTTTTAAATAAAAGAGATGGGGTCTCACTGTTTCCCAGGCTGGTCTCAAACTCCTGAGCTCAAGCGATCCTCCCACTTCGGCTTCCCAAAGTGCTAGGATTACAGGTGTGAGCCACCGCACCCGGCCACTATACTTTTAATTGTATATTCATTAGTGAGATTATTTGATTTGCTTATCTTTCCCGCTGAACCTTAAAGCTCCAAAATCAGGGGCCGTGTGCATTTGTGTTCACCCATGGATCCTTTAACCCTAGCACAATGTCTGACACATAGTAAACACTCCGGAAATGTTTGTTTGTTTGAGACGAAGTCTTACTCTGTTGCCCAAGCTGGAGTGCAGTGGCGCGATCTCAGCTCACTGCAACCTCCACCTCCCAGGTTCAAGCAATTCTCCTGCTTCAGCCTCCTGATTAGCTGTGACTACAGGCACGTGCCACCATGCCCGGCTAATTTTTATATTTAGTAGAGATGGGGTTTCACTATGTTGGCCAGGCTGGTCTTGAACTCCTGACCTTGTGATCCGCCCGCTTTGGCCTCCCAAAGTGCTGGGATTACAGGTGTGAGCCACCACGCCTGGCCAACACCCCAGAAATATTTACTGAAACACAGACAACCAAGCATGACACTCTTGGAGATTACATTCACTTGGCTCATGTCCACAGAAAAATCCACAATACTACAATAATAATCGTGAAAAACCAAAATTCAAATTAAATAAATTAGTCCTAACAATTAGAATGTGATTAACTGCTTTATTCACAAGTCTCTATTTATCCAACAACTATGTATTGAGAATCTACTATGGACCAAGGACCGTGCCGGAAGTTATTCATACTACAGTGGCAAAATGATGTCCCTGTCTTCATGGAGCTTACAAAAATTATTTACTGTCCAACCAGGAGGTGATCTGAAAAGCACACACACATAGATTAATTTAGGGTGGTACAGGAGATGCCTGACCAAATTCTCCTTTATGGAAATTCTACATTACTAAAACAGGAGATATCAATGTTCCCAAAGTTTCTGAGATAAGTAGGTGTTCAAAACAGTATCATGCTGCTGCTTCTCTAGGCATTTCCACACAGTTCTCCTCTCAGGCTTTCAAACCTGCCCAGCTTCTTTACGGACCTGATCCCCTCTACACCAAGGGGGCAGCGTTGCTGTTTAGCGTTGCTACTAGAGAAAAGAGGGAGTGTATCTGCTGGGCCTGCTTTACCTTGGAAGTTATGACATCTCACCCTAGCCAGTCAGCTTTGTCCCAAAAAAAGGTTACAAAAAAAGTCAAAATCCCTGCCTATTCGAATAAATAATCTGGTTGCAACTAAAATTCCATGTCCTTCCTTCCGAAATGAGTGGGGACAATTCAAATAATAAACCAAAAGCTGAAATCACCCAAGCAGAGGGAGAAAACCAGTATGGGTAACAGCTAAATGTTTAAATATTGTTTTCGGTAGAGAATAAGGAGACGGGTCTAAGTCTCTTGATAATCCAAAACTTCCACCTCATCGCTTATTTTAATAGAAACAAAATTAGGCCTGGACTAGAGAACAGGTTACTCCTGAGTGTGACATGTTTCCACTACACAAAGTCACCAAACTTATTTTTAGTCTTAAAGTAACAGTAAATCTTACCCCATATACTTTTATTATCTACAGTCTCAGCTTAAGTCATCTTAAGCTGAATATAGCTACTTCATAGTTATCAATGATAATGATGGCCCAGAGAAAAACGGGATCACCAAATTCACTGACAAACTCAGAATTCTTTTTAAAACTATAGAGTTATTTTTAAAGTTGGGTTTTATGGCAAGCTTTCCCAAAGTACTAACGTAGAACCCTCTGGATTTAGGCATCAGGCTTAAGTATGCCAAAGTTCTAAAAAGTATTAATAGCACAGGACATAAAGCAACACAAAACCAGAACTGTCCACAAATATTACCGGGCACTAAAGAAGAAAGCAACTTCCTTCTGGACAGAAATTCAGATGCAAATCTCAGTTTCCAAAGGATTGACTAAGGACTAAGTAATAGTTTCATAATTCTAAGCAACTCTAACAATTAATTCTTTAAACACTTTCTACTTTTTAAGACACTTACAAAGCCTTTCATTATTTCCTGTATATTAGACATGTGCTAAATGCTTCACTTGAAAAGTTTGAATTAAATACTATTCCACCACAAAAGAAATACTTTTTCCACAACTACAACTACCGTGCCATTTTCACCTCCATTTTCTAGATGAAAAAACAGAGGCAGAGAACAAAGTGACTTGCCTAAGGGCCCTTTATTTATCATGGCAGAGCCAAGACTCAAACCCAGTTCTAACCAACACTACAGTCACTGCCCCGCACTGGCCCTCCCTCAGGAGTAATGCATAAATGGCCCAAAAACCCCGGGGAGAGGAACGAAACCTCCCTGGCTAGAACCGCAGTTCAGAATATAAACACTGAGCATATGATGGATGCAACTTAATCCGTTTCAAAAAAGGTGGGAGCCTAGAAACGAAGCCATTTTTCCTCCTCGAATAATCCTGGCTGCCTGTCCCTTTGTCTTCAATGTTAGTTCCTTTCACCATTCTGCTCCCAAACAGGTCAGGTCCCACGTCAGTTCCAGGAGGAAAGGGCTCTCTCAGCCTGCGGATCATCTTTGGGCAGCAGCAGGAAGGGGAAGGCGGCGGCCCTCTCAATACCTCCTTTAGACTCGCCATCTGGACGTAAAGGGTTCGCCTGCTCCATCTCAGATTGCCAAGGGCCTTCCCATGAAGTTGTCTAGGCAAGCGGTGATAGGGACCTCAATGTCCTTGCTGATAAAAGAAAAATGGCAACAGAGTCATATCGCATCTAGTCCCATTCAAACCCAGACGGCAGGGCACACACCACTCAGGCACAACCCCTGGGCCGCGGATGACACAAACGTCACGGCTAGGATCCCCTTTCCTGAGCCGCCAGCCCTCTCCCAGCGCCCGAGCCAGCAGAGTCCACGCCCACCCCCGCGCCCACCCCGCGGCCCCGGCGCGCTCCCGAGGCCCCGGCTACTCTGGTCCAGCAGGCTTCACAGCTACGGAAGGAGTTTTAAGAAGGCCGTTCAGCCCGCCACCCTGGCCACGGTCCCGTCAGACACTGGGTCTTTCCCCTACCTTCTCCCTTCTAGCTCACCCAGGCCAGGGGCGAGAATTCCCGCCATCCACGTCTTCAAAACCAAGCCAACCGGTCCCGGCGTGCTTTGCGATCCTGCCGTACAAAAACATGGCGGCGCTCAGGGCCCCGCCCTGATCCCAGGATGCACCGGGGAGTAGGTCCGGCCTTTCGGGTGGTGAGGAAGATGGCGGCCTCTGGGGCGGAGCCGCAGGTCCTGGTACAATACTTGGTGTTACGAAAGGATCTATCACAAGCTCCGTTCTCCTGGCCGGCGGGCGCACTGGTGGCGCAGGCTTGTCACGCGGCCACCGCGGCCTTGCACACTCACCGCGACCACCCGCACACCACCGCTTACCTCCAAGAGCTGGGGCGCATGCGCAAAGTGGTCCTTGAGGTGAGGCACTCGGGCGGAGGGGGAGGTGCTGAGACGTCGAGGGCGGAAGTGGGTGTGATCTTCGGTCCGAAGGCCTAGCTGCGGGGAGTGGGTGCGGCGGGGGTTGGGGTGATCGTTAACATTTAGACTGGAGCTATTTCCCTGGAGGTGCGTCCTTGGGGAGGGCCTGACTGTGTGAAGAGTGGAGAGCAGTCGTCCGCCCCCTTCTGGGCTCGCGGTGAAGTGGTGCCGCCTGTGTCCCCGCCGTTCCGCCTGTGCACTGGCTGACCTTTTAAAGCCATGCCCCAAAGTGCTGTCCTCCAGCAAAACCGAGCCCGAGGGGACAGAGCGAGCTCCTTCTCGCCGTGGGGACAGTGCAAAGTGAAGTCAAACTGAGTATTTACCTGGGTAGGACGCCAAAGTATTTGAAAATAAACACTAAAAGCCTTATTTGAACCTAGCTTCAGATAGACCAGTCACCAGGGGTGTAAATCGGTGCACCTTTTAAAATAGCAGTCAAGTTCTGTTTGCAGATAACCAAACAAATCTCACCCTTACCCTTTGACTCTGTCTCTCCTGCTGCTAGAGATGTAGCCTAAGAAAATAATCAGATGGACCCAAAGAGCTTTGCACAAGGATATTCATGGGAGCCCTTATGTTTTTGAAGCATATTTAGTGGTCTGGAAGAGTGCTCATGATGCGAAGCTAACTGAACTATATGTACAGAATGATCCAGACTTTGAAAGGAAAAACCAAGGAAAGATATCTAAATATTAAGTAGTGCATGGTGAGATTTTGGTTATTTCCTAATGCTTCTCTGTATTTTTGAAATTTTCTACCTTAAGCACATATTTTATAATAAGGAAAAACGGCTTTAAAGTAATGAAGCCAGAACTCAGGTGGAGGGGTGGAGTAATACCTTCATGGAAGACTGGCAAAGACAGATTATCTTTCAAGAGAAACATTACTGCTGGATAGTGAAACATCAGGCGGTAACCTGTAGGAAAAATGCCTTGAGAATCTGAGTAGGCAGAACAGAAGCCACTGACTTTTCACTTAGATTTTCTTCCTATTAAGAGGTCTTAAGAAATCAGGTTCAGACTCCTCTTGTCTCGGGTGAAACTCTGAAGCCTACAGGGATTAAGTGACTCCCCTGAATTTAAAAGAGGGTCTCATGATTCTTAGTTGTTAATCATGACTCAAGAAGGGAACTTAGGAGTCGCTACTGATTACATTGAGGTGCTGCTGTAGTCAGAAGGGCCAATAAAATATAAGACAATACCAGGATTAACTACGTTTATTGAGTGCTTAGTATGTGCCAGGCACAGGTCTGAGCCTAATTTCATTGATCCCCACTAGGAAGCATTTTATAAAGGGACGAAGAGGCCAGCGAAGTCGCCTAACTTGTCCACGATCACGCAGTCAGCAAGAGTTTGGAGTCCGGTAGTCTGATTCCAGAGACTCACTGTATCTCACTGTACTATGCCTCTGCCCGAGGCTGAAGAAGCTGATGAGTCCTCCAGCAGAGCTCTGCCGGAAGGACTTAGCAGGTTAAAAGTAGCAATACTGGCATTCTCTAATTTGTTAAAACCAGCCTCTGATTATCTTAGTGGCTTCTGCCTTCATAGGTAAAAGATAAACTTTATGCAAACTAACATGAAAATAATAATTTTCTGAGTGATAGTTTTAATACTTCCTGGAATGGGATTCATCATGGGTGAATTGGCAGTAAGGATGACCCAGAAACGATTTCAGAAGGATGTTAGAGAATATTGTACTCTCCGTTTAATAAACAAGTGGGAGCTATCCCAGCAGAAGGAAAACCCCTTTAGGTTTCAGTAGGGTAGAGTGGGAGGGGTGGAGGGAAGTGGAAGTGGATGTGCTTTTAGAAATCCTTCCACTAGGGGCTGGGCGCGGTGGCTCACGCCTGTGATCCCAGCACTTTGGGAGGCCTAGGCGGGTGGATCACTTGAGGTCAGGAGTTCCAGACCAGCCCGGGCAACACGGTGAAACCGCGTCTCTACTAAAAATACAAAAATTAGCCAGGTGTGGTGGTGTACGCCTGTAATCCCAGCTACTCGGGAGGCTGAGGCAGGAGAATCACTTGAACTTGGGAGGCAGAGGCTGCAGTGAGCCGAGATCGTGCCCCTACACTCTGGCCTGGGTGACAGAGCAAGACTCTGTTTCAAAAGAAAAAAAAACTTCCATTAGGCAGTGGTTAAAGTCAGAGGCATTTAAAATTATGGGCACCAGCCATAGGAGAGCTAGAAAACGTGTAGAGCAGAATTACACATTACACATGTGGATGTTGGGCACACGACATCTCACGAGGGAAGATACAAATCTCCATTGTCTAAACAGGACTAGGAGGCCTCTCTCCCCTCCCCAGTGCACCAAGGAATGACATCGTCGCTCTGCAGCTCCCTCCTTGGTAAAGCTGTCACTCCACTTTCAGTGAAGAGGACTCCCGAAACCCTTTTTGGCCTTTTGACACTTCCTAAGTGGGCTATTCAGTTTGTGTTCTATGTTCTTCTCCTTTAGGCCCCAAATGAGACCACCCTAAAGGAGCTGGCCGAGACCCTGCAACAGAAGAACATTGACCACATGCTGTGGCTTGAGCAACCAGAGAATATCGCCACTTGCATTGCTCTCCGGCCCTACCCCAAGGAAGAAGTGGGCCAGTATTTGAAGAAGTTCCGATTGTTCAAATGACTGCTGCTTTGATGTGTTTGAATACCAGCTGGATCCAGAATCAGCAGGCCACCCATTCCAGAGCATCATGTGCTTGCAGTGTCAGCTTGCTCCCGTCTTTCAGTTGTGACAGTTTCTTGAGGGTTCAGCGCATGTTCCTATTAAAGTTGTCATTAATAACTACTTCCTCTTATTAATAAGTGCAACTGTGGAAGGTGCGCGGGCAGTGTTGTCTGGCGATCATTGCTCAAATAGAAGATTGGGTTAGACTCTCCTATGGGGGTCAAGGAAACTCCCTTCCAGTCACCCAGGTTTGAAACTTTGCTTTTTGCGGGGCGCGGTGGCTCAAGCCTGTAATCCCAGCACTTTGGGAGGCCGAGACAGGCGGATCACGAGGTCAGGAGATCGAGACCATCCTGGCTAACCCGGTGAAACCCCGTCTCTACTAAAAAAATACAAAAAAAAAAAAAAACTAGCCGGGCGAGGAGGTGGGCGCCTGTAGTCCCAGCTACTCCGGAGGCTGAGGCAGGAGAATGGCGTGAACCCGGGAGGCGGAGCTTGCAGTGAGCTGAGATCCGGCCACTGCACTCCAGCCTGGGCGACAGAGCGAGACTCCGTCTCAAAAAAAAAAAAAAAAAAAAAAAAAAAAAAAAAAAAAAAATGCTAGCAAATAAATTAAAACATTTGTATTTCAATAACAAAGATGTTAAAATTTGGCCAGTGTGGTGGCTCACGTCTGCTAATTCCAGGGTTTTGGGAGCCAAGGCGGGAGGAGCACTTGAGCCCATGAGTTCAAGGTTACAGTCAGTTCTAATCATGCCACTGCACTCCAGCCTGGGCAACAGAGTGAGGCACTGTCTCTGTAATGATAATAAAATGTTAAAATTCGTGTGTGTCTATATATATGTACATACATACGGATTTATTAGATTTGATGAAATCTGTCAAGTACTACAACTGTTTTCTTGTCATTTTAGTGCTGCTGCCCTGTGTCAGCCTCTCATTTTGCTCACTGGCGTGTCCCACGGTCTGTTCACCTCCAGTGTGATGCTTCAATCCAGCAGCCGCTCTGCCACCAGATAGGATGACTGAACACCTACCTGTGTAGTCTAGGCTCCTCCCTGCCTATGGAGTAATCCCAGCACTCCTTAGCTGAGACTTCAGGCCCTCATGTGTATTTCCTACCCACATTTTTTGTTTTTTGGAGATGGAGTCTCTCTCTGTCGCCCAGGCTGGAGTGTGGTGGCGCCATCTCTGCTCACTGCAACCTCTGCCTCCTGGGTTCAAGCCATTCTCCTGCCTCAGCCTCCCAAGTAGTTGGGACTACAGGCATATGCTACCACAGCTGGCTAATTTTTGTATTTTTTTAGTAAAGATGGGGTTTCACCATGTTGGCCAAGCTGGTCTCCAACTCCTGACCTCAGGTGATCCGCCAGTCTCGGCCTCCCAAAGTGCTGGGATTACAGGCGTGAGCCATCGCACCCGGCCTCCTAGCTATCTTTTTAGTTGAATCTTCTTTTTTTTTTTTTTTTTTTTTTTTGAGACGGAGTCTCGCTCTGTCACCCAGGCTGGAGTGCAGTGGCCGGATCTCAGCTCACTGCAAGCTCCGCCTCCCAGGTTCAGCCATTCTCCTGCCTCAGCCTCCCGAGTAGCTGGGACTACAGGCGCCCGCCACCTCGCCCGGCGAGTTTTTTGTATTTTTTAGTAGAGATGGGGTTTCACTGTGTTAGCCAGGATGGTCTCGATCTCCTGACCTCGTGATCCGCCCGTCTCGGCCTCCCAAAGTGCTGGGATTACAGGCTTGAGCCACCGCGCCCGGCCCTAGTTGAATCTTCTATTCCCTTATTCAAACTTGATGTTTCCACAGAGTCCCTCTAGTTGCTGTTCTCCAGTCTCTGTCATGAGAGTTGAATGTTCTTACTCCTCCCCTCCCTTTCCTGCACCTGGACTTTACTTCCACTATTTCCAGCTCAAGTGCTATCACTGCCAAAAATTCTTACCCAGCCAAAAATGATAGTTCCTTCTCTGAACATCTGTAACACTCTGCACAATGGTTACAGTATTTCTATAAACATTCGGACACACCTACAGAAACGCTTAGACATCTGTGAAGCGCAGTTGATGAGGGATAATTTGTTCAACAGATATCTATTGTTTGTCTACGTGGCAGGCTGTGCATAAAACAGTTTTGCCCTCAGGTAGCTAAGAATCTATATGGGTAACATCCGTCCCCCTTAGATAAGGTGGTACTAAGATCCCAGATAAGAGTTCCCTTTATGGGCCCAGTGCAGTGGCTCACGCCTGTAATCCCAGCATTTGGGAGACTGAGGCGGGTGCATCACCTGAGGTCAGGAGTTGGAGACCAGCCTTGCCAACATGGTGAAACCCTGTCTCTCCTAAAAAAAGAAAAAAGAAAAAAGCTGGGCGTGGTGACAGGCGCCTGTAATCCCAGCTACTCTGGAGGCTGAAGCAGGAGAATCACTTGAACCCGGGAGGCGGAGGTTGCAGTGAGCCGAGATTGTGCCATTTCACTCCAGCCTGTGCGACGAGAGCGAAGCTCCATCTCAAAAAAAAAGATTTCCCTTTATGAAAGGTGGTCACCTGAATGGAGGAGAGCGGACGAGTCTCACAGGCAGAATTGGTAGAGTGCTGAGGGCAGAGCCGACCTCAGGAAGCCAAGTGAATGAGGAGTTCAAGGGGTAGAGAGAAATCAAGTGCAGCATAGCATTTCAGTGACTAAAACGTGGAAACATCTAGCAATTGGGAATGTACTGGTGAACTTAGTGAAGTTTAAATAGCATAGTGAGGGTAGAAATCAGATCGTAACCTGTTGAGACAAGAATGGGAGGCCGGGCCTGGTGGCTAATGCCTGTAATCCCAGCACTTTGGGAGGCCAAGGCAGGCGGATCACCAGGTCAGGAGTTCGAGACCATCCTAGCCAACATGGTGAAACCCCCGTCTCTACTAAAAATACAAAAATTAGCAGGGTGTGGTGGCAGTTACCTGTAATCCCAGCTACTCAGGATGCTGAGGCAGAAGAATCACTTGAACCTGAGAGGCAGGGATTGCAGTGAGTAGAGATCGTGCCACTGCACTCCAGTCTGGGTGACAAGAGCAAAACTCCATTTCAAAAAAAAAAAAAAAAAGAAGGGGAGGTAAGAGGAGGTGAGAAGTGTCCTTTCCAGAAGCTTGAAAGGGAGGAGAGAGAGGATAATGGTTGAAGAGGGGCTGGAAAGATCAATGTTGTGTTCCCTAGTGGGGATTTTCTTAGATCTTGAGCAGGTTGATGGGTGGGGAGGAGAAAGAGGGTAAGGAGGAGAAAGTAAGGAGAGGAGAGATTAAGAGATTAAAGTTCCAAAATAGAATAACTGATGAAGTCCAGAGAAAACAGGAAGAGATGGGGTCAAAGGTACTGGGAAGAGCTGGCCTTGAACTGAGAGAGGGGAACCTTCTTTTCTGAGACTGGAGGAAAGGCAGATGGTGAAGATAAAGATGTATGTATGTTTCATAGACTGTAGGAGAAAGAAGGTTGAAGTTGACCATACCTGCTGACTTTTTTCTATTAAGTAGGAGGTATATACATTATCCTCAGCAAGCTAAAGCAGGAACAGAAAACCAAATACCGCATATTCTCACTTAAAAGTGGGAGCTAAATGATGAGAACACATGGACACAGGCAGGGGAACAACACACACGGGGACTGATTGGAGGGTGGGAGGAGGGAGTGGATCAGGAAAATAATGAATGGGTTCTAGGCTTAATACCTGGGTGATCAAATTTGTACCACAAACCCCCACGACACAAGTTAACCTATAAAACAAATCTGCACATGCTGCACAGGTACCCCTGAACTTAAAAGTTTAAAAAAGTAGGAGGCATAGGATCTTTCATAACACTGAACGAACTCATTGAGCACTAAGATAGCACAACAGTGGGCAGGAGCCCAGGCTTTGCTGTCAAACTGCTTGAGTCCAAATCTGGGTCTCATACTTTCAAGCTCTGTGGACTTGGGCAGTCACTCCATTTCCCTGAGAGCCAGTTCCCTTATCCGTAAAGCAGGGATTTAAATGTGTTTGGAAGTACAAACTCCTTAGAGCAGTGCCTGCAACTTCGTGCTAGGCCCTAAACTTGGGAAGATGCAGATGGCACAGCCCTCAGAGCTGCTCTCCAAGAGCTCTCCATGAAGGAGGCCATTGTCTACCCCTTTCTGTTAGGGAGTGATGCCATCCAGGAATCCAGCACCATTTCCATTCAAGCCCATTAGGAAAATGTTTCTAAAGGATACTGCATCTTAAAAAAAAATTAAGTTCTGAATTCTTCAGTAAGGCATAGTATAAAGCTAGAGAGGCCAAGTGCGGTGGCTCACGCCTGTAATCCCAGCACTTTAGGAGGCCGAGGCGGGCGGATGTCAAGGTCAGGAGATCGAGACCAGCCTGGCCAACATAGTGATACCCTGTCTTCTAGTAAAACTACAAAAAAAACTCCGGGCGCGGTGACTGACGCCTGTAATCCCAGCACTTTGGGAGGCCGAGGCGGGCGGATCACCTGAGGTTGGGAGTTCGAGACCACCCTGACCAACATGGAGAAATCCCATCTCTACTAAAAATTCAAAATTAGCTGGGTGGTGTGGTGGCCTGTAATCCCAGCTGCTCGGGAGGCTGAGGCAGGAGAATTGCTTGAACCCAGGAGGCGGAGATTGTGGTGAGCTGGAGATCGCGTCATTGCACTCTAGCCTGGGCAACAAGAGCGAAATTCCATCTCAAAAAAAAAAAAAAAAAAAATTAGCCAGGCATGGTGGCACGTGCCTGTAGTCCCAGCTACTTGGGAGGCTGAGGCAGTAGAATCGCTTGAACCCGGGAGGTGGAGGTTGCAGTGAGCCGACATCGTGCCACTGTACTCCAGCTTGGGCAACAGAGTGAGACTTTGCCTGGGGGAAAAAAAAAAGTTAGACAGAAATGAGACACAGCTGGGAGACAGCAGATTTAGGCAAATCCCTAAAGCAGAGATCTGAGCACAAATAGCCTAAGCGTCTACCCCAGATGGGGAAGAA